GTGTGTGCTGTGCACATGAAATTGTTTTTAACGACAATGTGTGTCCACGTAAATTATTAGTTTAATAAACGTTGCGCACATAACAAATAATTGCCCGAAAGGCCAAAGCCAAGCGAAGGTTAAGGATTAGCCCTATTAATAGTCGCAAAATGTAAAAGCTGTAAAGAGGTATAATATAGTAAACTGGATTATTTACAACACAGCTTACAGTCAAAGCATAAGAAGCCTTACGCCTTACTTGAATTTATAAGAATCGCATAGAAAGGTAATGTATAAAAAGCCTTTATTTTATTGATTAAATTACATGTCTTTTGTAATTTATTCCATGAAAATTGTGTAAAAAACTCAACTTTCACTGAACAACATCTTAATATGTATATTATTCAAAAGATGCTAAATATGCATTACCCATCCTTAACTGGTTTCCTTTACCCTTAAATGTGCATATGCATGCATTCAACCCTTTGGCGGGAGGAGGGAGGAAATTTATTTTTCAATTAATATGAAATCAAGCATTAAAATTGAATTAGCAACCGAAACTAAGCACAAATCTTGTTGGTTGGTTAGCAAGGAAAACTTGGCAGCAACTTTGGCCAATTAGAAAATTACGACAGCGACAAGGACAATATGTTGCCTACTTTGCGGCAGCAACAGCATCTTGAGAACGCAAGTCCCGCCCGGCAAATATTGTTTAGTAATTTTGCCGCGCTTATTTTGTATGTTGGCCGGCGGGCAGACCTGGCAAAAGTTCAACTAACAAACAAAAGCGATAATTACAAGAAAACAGGCGAGCAGGCGTCAGGCAATGCCAGGACTGCGCCACAGGACAGGACACAGGAGCAACAGCAGCCAGGAGCAGGACAAGCGGTAAACTTTGTTTGTCAGTTGCGTATGCGAATGCAAATAATTTTACAAAAATTAAAAGCAGACGACAGCAAAACTTTTACGTAGATTCAACATTTTTGAAATCTATCCGAATAAGCCGGAGTCTTGTCAAAAGCGAAAGGGTTCCTCTCCTCACTTCTTGTCGTAGTTTATGTGCCTGTCTAAAGGCATTTAACCTACGCCACTATAATTCACGCCATTTTCAGCGGCATTTAAATGCAGCGCGCGCGACTCGCATCCTGGCGTCCTGGCATCCCGGGGCTGCCGCGTCCTGGGCTTGGCTCCCCAGCTGGGATAACGATAAGCCAAACATGATTTTACGACAATGTTATTACCAGGCAGCCGACGGAGGTAGAACCCGAAGCACCCGGAGGTTGGTGGATGGATCCCATGTATTGTATGTTGTGTTTGTTGAGACGTAAAAGGTATTTTGGCTGGGTGGGCTAGGTCTGGGGTAGCCCTGGGGTTATATGCCATGACGCTGACGTCGCTGTGATTGTTTAAAGTTATGAATAATTAAATATTTGAGCAGGTTGCGGACTCCGAATGTCTAGCTGGGTTCGGGTGTTTCCCATTGGGCTGCTGGCCGAGGCAAATAGCTGTGGGACTGTAGATAAATTCTTATATATCGTATCGAATGGTATCAACAATCTGTGAACCACTTTGCATTATCATTTATCAGTTATTTACTTTTTGCAATCACAGAAAGCATTAAATTCTATTTTCAAGAAAATGTAGACAATAGACATAAAAATTTGGTATGAAATAAAAATATACCTGCCCAATTTATCTATATGAGATTATTTCTTTTGTGCTTTTATCTACACCTCCCTTTTAAGATTATACACAAAAAAGTATTTATATGCACCAACTCTCTGAGAATTTACCACCCCTTTGCTATTCATTTATTTACGGGCCGACCACAAAACGCTAATGCAAATAATTGCCGTCCATTTCGAGTGCATTAAACTGGAAATTATGTGCACAGCCGCAGTTAATTACACAAAAAGGAAAATAATTAAACAAAAAAGTCATATTACCAAAGTTGGAGATGCGGGGCATCGATCCCCGTACCTCTCACATGCTAAGCGAGCGCTCTACCATCTGAGCTACATCCCCAGTTGAAAATGTGCGAAATAACAGTCTTTTTTAAGGCAACAGAATGTCTTACATTGATTTATGTGTTATTTTATGCATTTAACCTTGTATTTTCGGAAAGGGTCATGCATTTTTAAAAAACTAAAACTGGTTGGGTGCATAATAAATAGATATTTTAGATTTGTGGGCTAATTTAGATAGCTCCAAGATGATAAGCACTACCTGGCGATCTTAAGTACATGAGGCTCAATGGTCTAGGGGTATGATTCTCGCTTTGGGTGCGAGAGGTCCCGGGTTCAAATCCCGGTTGAGCCCGACGTACTATTTTATTATTTGTACGAAAATTGTTGTACAAATTAGTCAGTATTATCTCTCATCGTCTATGCTATCTTTTAACAATATCTGTATACTGATAAAGCATGATGATAATTACTCGATCTATCATGTGGGATAGTAAAAAATGTTTATACAAACCAGTTTTTGTTGTTTAACTTACGTTTCTTTGTTATTCAGTAAGCCGGATAGCTTTGTCAAAAACTACTTTGCTGACATTTCTTGCATAATAAAATCGTCTGATCATGAATATTTTATCGCTGAGCGCACTATCGAAATTTGCTTGAACCATTTTGTGCCTCGTTTACCCTAACAGAAGATACTATTATTATCTCGCTAACTGTGTTACTCACTTTAGATGACATCTTCTGATATTGGAATGACCATTCTATAATGCTTAATTATACTTTAGACAACAGATTTTTCCGAAAAAACTGGTCAGAAAATATTTAACCACAAAAATATTTATACCATAACAAAAGTTACACCAAACATCATATCATATGTATGCCCACAATCCAAATTGAATTGTTGTTCATCCGTTGTTAATGAAAAATTCACCACTTACCCAGCTTAGCAGAATTAATACTATATAATAATAGCTTTAAAAGTGAGCAACTGGTTAAGGTGATATCACTAGGTCTTACTTCTGGTTAATGACTGTTAGGGTATTTTATACGTCACCAAAGTTAACTTTCCTAACTTGTTTAAAAACGTTTTTCATTGGACTCAACTGCCATTACCATTAACCACGGTGGTATTTGCATACCAATCTATTTTTAAACCGCTTAAATTGCACTTTTATCGCTTATTGACCACTAAGCTGTCCGGTTTTCCGTCGGGGATGTAGCTCAGATGGTAGAGCGCTCGCTTAGCATGTGAGAGGTACGGGGATCGATGCCCCGCATCTCCATTAAAAGTAATTTTTTAAATTGTATTTTAAATCAAATATCTGTTACCTATATAAAAAAAATGTCTGTGCTCTCTGTGTCTGCTAGTTAAAAACTTTTTGTTGTGTATACGTTCCTAAAACATTTATCACAGGGAAAAGAAACGGTCAAATTGCACCTTCATTTTAATGCTATAAAATTGACCAAGATATCTTGAAAATTAATAAAATGCCGTCATATAAACAGCTTGTTCTGAGGGTTGCGTGGGAAAGTAGGAAAAAAAATAACAATAGCTTAATGTATTTACCTAAATAACTCATCCAAACTGTTAATAACTTAATAAAAAAAAACCCTAAATTGGAAATCGAAAAAAAAATATTTTTGCCTAAAATGTATACAATAAGATGCTTCAAATATCAAGTTGAATTTTTGATATTTTATATTAAATAGATTTATATTCTTAGTTTTTCCTGGCACGAAAAAACAAAATACATATATATTATTTTGGTATTGGCTTATTTATTTTTATTAGTTCGTTATTTTAAAAATAGTTCAAAATTGATTTTAAAACGATATACTAAAAAAACTGATCGTGTTGGAGATGCGGGGCATCGATCCCCGTACCTCTCACATGCTAAGCGAGCGCTCTACCATCTGAGCTACATCCCCTTGTGATCGTCGGCTGCCGAAAACGCATGTCATTCCGCAAGGTTGTTCAACTTGCACAAATAAACTGCTGCTTACCTTTGGTACGATCTGGAATGAAACAACCCACAAAATCGACCACCCAGCAGAGAGACACACCCTCAGTAAACAAAAGAAATTAATTTACGCATTTTCTTTTCAGTTGCATTTTCGCTTTATTATTTATTCTCTTTTAAAAACTGTCAATATTTACACTTGGCACAGGTTTAGTCTACCATAAAAATTACAAAAATACACACTCGCGCAATTTTCATTTTATTGTATTGCTTTGTTTTCTTTGCGTTATTGTTTTGAGCTTTGCACAACGTCTTCGGCATCCGCTCCAACCACCTGCCGCCATCTGATGCATATAATTATGGAAATCTTCAAGTGCGTCTCCACCGCCCAACAACAACAACAACAACAACAACTACAACGATAACAAATGACACCCGAACGAAAAATCAAGGCAGGCAGACGTAACGATTTTGTCAGTGCAAATAAAAGTTGCGACAAAACAAAATGATAAAACAAATGGAAATCTCTGGGGATAAGCAGTACGCAGTAGGCAGTAGGCAGCCAGCCACATTTGCATAAACTCAAAACATGCCACAATATTGATTACATGCAGACATCATTCAAAATCTGTACTTTTGCGCGCCCAATTTTGATATCGGGTGGCAGCACTGTCCCGCATGCAACTCTGCGTACAGCTGTCTTAATCTCACATGCAATATAAAAATAAGAGTTCTATTGTGCATAATTCGATTAAGTTTATGTGTTTACGTGTGTTTTGCTATTAATATTAACAAAAGTAACAAAGAATTACAAAAGTGAAAAGCGCCCGAAAATGCTGCAACTTCAGGTGCTAAGCTAAAACGCGGTTTCAAACAACAACAAAGAGTACAAAAATGTCCTGCCACTGGCAACTTGAATTTGTGAACTGCGGCCAGCAAACGTGATAGGCGCTGCCTTAATAATGAATTAAGTTCATATTTATGCATACAAAGTGTACATATATTATTAAGTTTTGTAATGCATGAACGTCGGGGACCAGCCACAACAGCTGCTGCTGCTGCTGCTGCTGCAGCTGCTTCTGTTGCCGGTGCTTCTGCTGCAGCAGCAACAACAACAACAACAGGGACAACAACAACTGCCGGCACCGAAGCGATGTCGGCTACAGCTTCGGGCATCGATGCGGCTGCCGCCTTGCAGGAGCGCAAGAGATGCCACACAGGTGGCCAGCAACAACAAAGGCACCACAATCCGAATGGCCCACCAAATGCCAATAGCTGGTGAGCTACAATTTCATATATAAATCACATCATACACATACATATACACAATAGCGCATCACACGCACACACGCACACATATGTACATCTCGTCCCCGTCCAATAGGAAATTTCGAAAACTGCCAACGTTCGCAGAAAACGTTATGATAATGAGGCAGGCCATCAAGCACAGCGTCGCGTTGCTCTCACGTGCCTGCTAATTTTATGTGCTGCCATCGCCCAGGATCACAGCCCGGATCCTGCCTGCAGCCTAGTGGCTGGCATAAGCATAATGTGTTGTACATGCTATTTTGTGCGCGTCCTGCTAAAATAGCTTGCCTTAACGAATTTTGTTTGCGTGTCCTGTTTAACATACTCGAGTACCTTGTTGAGCTTTGGCGAGCCCATCTCCCGCCTGGCTACAAGGCGTCCAATTTTGTATCTTCAGCTTATAAGCTGCATAGCAGTATTTTAGTACGAGCAGCTACATTATAACTGAATAGGCTTCGAAATGGAGTCTTCTCCGAAGACGAATGAGAAATTATAAAATTAATACCAACTAGACTAATGCTTATATAGTTGACCCTCTTCTAATGCGTGGCAATTTCTTATGCTGCCCGCGCCTATACACACATGAAATATCCTCAAATTATTAGCTTTTATGCCTGGCTCCCCCATCGCTTTGCTTATGTCCTGCCACATCTGCAGCAGCTGAAAAAGTCGAAAATGCTCATAATAAATATAAAATGGCAAAAACGTGTCGATTTCGTATAACAACTTGAAAATGATTTGTTTCACAGTCTGCAGCGCATATTAACTTCGATTTTCAATTCGAAGCAGCAGCAGCAGCAGGCGAAGCAGAAGCAGCAGCTCATGTGCCACACATGTAGTAAGGACTTTCCCCGGCTGCTTGAGCAATTTTTTGCCAGTTAGGCAGCGCCAAAAATTCCATTAGGCCGCAAATGTTGCCAAAAGAAAAAACAACACACAAGCGACTCATAGACAACTTTTGTTGATGTTGTTTCTGTTGCTGTTGCTGTTGCTGTTTCTGTTGTTTATTTGTTTGTTTGCCGGGCGCTTGTCTCAATGTCGTTGTCCTTAGCCATAGCCTGCAGCTCCGTCAGTTCATCTTGTTAACCAAACAGGCTGCAAGCACTGCCACCAAGACAAAGCCACAAAAAGCGATTCAGTTTAGTCAAAACAAAAAAAAAATAGGCGAAAGGACTCTAATTGAGGGCCTGACTGGACACAAGCCTGCTGCTTTTGCATCTTGACCATTTCCGTTGTACGGATATGCATGTCTACTCAATTTTCCGACAAATGAGTGGACGTCGTCATCTCACTTCACCTTCCAGAAGCTACCGAAATTGATTGGAATTTACAACATGCGGCTACAGTTTTTAGCATTTTTTTTTTCTCGCAACACTTCAGCGTTGAGCTTGTTTGCGGCTTTTCCTGTTGTTGCTGCTGCCATTTGCCCCTTGGTCCTGCCACATGGACGGAGTCATAAAAGTCTAACGAGGCTCTCCACACAACATTGTCATGATGTTTGCCATTCATAAAAACTTCAATTGATTTGAATATTCCGAATTTTCTAACTCCCAAATATATTTACATTTCGTTTCAACAACAATTCAGTTTTTGAAATTATCAAGAAGCCAGATACCAGATCAGGTCCCCTTTGGGTCCCTTTAGTAAGGACAATCAAGAGCCCGAAAAATACTTTCTACATTTTTACATGAGCTACGCGTTGTTTTCAACGAAGGAAAAAATATCTGGCCATAGGTATTAACGTAATTAATTTCGTACCGCGTCACATGTTTCGGAACGGTAAAAAAAAATTTAAAAAAAATAAAACCCGAGAGAAATTAATTATAAACAAATCTTTTCATGTCAGCAACGGAATTTGCGACACTTTTGCGCATTTTTCAGCTGCCCACCGAGAACTTTTTTTTAACTCAATTTCACAGCAATTTCTAGAGAGCCACGCCCAGCTCGCCCCCTCCGACCCGCAGCCATTGTTTAGGGTCACTCAAAAGCACATTTCACTTATTATTAGCTCATTTATTACCACCAACTGCTGACCCTGGCAGCACCTGGACCAGATCCTTCAGCAACCCCTAAAAAAAACTGCTGTTGTGAAAAATGCTGGCCCGTCCGAGGCAATAAAAAAAAAAGAGAAGAAAATTCAAAGTAAAAACTCTGTGGGTCGCGGGCATCTTAAAATTAACACATAAATTTTAAGTGGGTGGTGTCACAGAGGGGGTTGGATCCGCAGAGTCCTGCGGCTATCCATAAGATACCTTCGGCTCACGCTTGGTTGGCTCGGACTCCGGCTGTGGCTGGACCCCGGCCATTGTCATTGAAATTTCCGTGCGAGTGCGCTCAGTGTGCTGCCTGTCAATTCACCTAGGCAATAACTTGTTGGCCAATTGCCGTTGAAACTACGTGACGCGCCGGGAAAAGTATCTGCCAGATACTTTTCCATTGACTGCCGCCGACTTGTTTATTGTCTGCAAATTAGCCCCACAGACTCAGCTGGAATAGTTGCAATTCTAATTATGCGCCAGCAAATTAAAAATCCATGGCAAGAAAACTTCATTATCAACTTCATGCAGGCCTAAGCTAAAAAAAAAAGAAAGCTGCCCCATGCCAATCCTTATGATAACAATGCAAGCCAAGACGGCGTCAGAGTCAAATGATTCTTGAAATGAAAGGAAAAATGCGAAAAGGCCGCTGCAATGCGGAAATAAATAAACGTCGCGAATCTCAGACAACATTTTGAATAACAAAATAAACCCCGACAGACCCCAACTCGAACTGGAAGCTCTATTTGTAAGATCTGCTCTGTTTAGTTATGCATTTTCCTTGTTTTTTTTTTTTGTATACTTAATTTTTTTTATTTTTTTAATTTTCTTATATTTATTTTTCTCGTTCCCACAGGCGCCAGAAGAAGTCCACGAATTATAATACCCAATCCTGGCAGAACGGACGCAGGCAAGTTTTTTCTCTGCTTTTCATTCCCCCCACCCCCTGCCCCTGCCTCGGTAAAAATCCTTCGTGTCAATCGTCCTGCCTGCCATTTGTTTGTCTCTCGCTCTGTGTTTTGTTTTGTTTGTTTGCCTTGTGTGTGTGTGTGTGTGTGTGTGTGTGTGTGTGTGTGTGTGTGTGTGTGTGTGTGTGTGTGTGTGTGTGTGTGTGTGTGTTGTGTGTGTGTGTGTGTGTGTGTGTGTGTGTGTGTGTGTGTGTGTGTGTGTGTGTGTGTGTGTGTGTGTGTGTGTGTTTCTTGTGCTTTCTTTTGCTTTAACGCACGTTTGCACCTTTGCCAAACAGTTGTGTGTGGGCGGTTGGGTTGGGCTCGGCTGGCTGCTTTGGCTAGATTGCCCAAGGGAAGGCAACCACATTATTAACACTTGACTAAATATGCATTTCTTGGTGGACGCTGTTGACAGCAAGAAGCGCTAACAAGGTTTGCGTTAAGGGTTTGCTAAACAAAGCTGCGGCTATCAAGTGGGTGAATATAAATTACGACAGATAAAAAACTGCCCAAATAAAGCTGACACTTGAAAAAGTCTTAAATCAAGCAAAGTATGCATAAAGTGCAAGATATAAGGATTATTCGCTAAGGAATTTTGAGTAATAATACATCAGCTAAATGCGGTAATACCCGATTCCAAGTGATCTGTTGCATATACGACAAGTAAGAGGTTCTAGTCGGGAGCTCCCGACTAGGGGATACCCTGAACCCTCTTCTTCCAACATCAAATGCATATATATATATTCTATTTTAGAAGCTATATGTCAAGTTTGGTGACTCTAGCTCTTATTATTTACCAAAATTGCCCAAAAAACAGGATATCGATATCGATTCTTATCGATTGCTTGGAAACGGAGTAAGTTATCGATTATCGGAATGTCGATCTGCGCGGGAACTAGGAGCATCTACATCTAAAATTTCAAGTCTCTAGCTCTTATAGGTTCTGAGATCCTTGCGTTCAAACATACGGACGGACGGACAGACGGACGGACAGACAGACGAACATGGCTAGATCGACTCGGCTATTGATGCTGATCAAGAATATATATACTATATGGGGTCGGAGATGCTTCCTTCTGCCTGTTACATACATTTGGCTTATGCACAAATACAATATACCCTCATACCCATTTTTAATGGGTTCAGGGTATAACTAGTTTTTGAAAATCCAGTCGTATGCCTAATATGTTTTCCAAAGAATAAACAGGTTTAAATCCCAGGCTAGTTAATGCAGCTTTCTCTTAGCCGAAGGCCATTATAGCCCCTGTCATTAAAAGCTAGTTTATTAGTTGGCATCTATATGCCATATCTGAAATGAAAACTGCTCGAGCACATTTACTAGAAATATTCTACTTTCTTTTTTGAAATATAACTGTCTAACTTAAGCTTAACCAGAAACTTGTATCTGTAGTTTCATCTTTTCGACTACCTTGATTCGAAAACCTGATTGAAAAATAAGTTAATTAATATGTATTCAGGTTTAAAAACCCGTCCGCTTGTCTAAAAGGTATAAAGCCTCTTCTTTATGCCTGAAAGCACCAGACTCAGACTTGGGATATAGCACCAAACTTTAGCTGGGAGCAACAACTAACTAAAACATTTCGACTGCAAAAAGGGCTGTAGTGTATATATAATGCATAATATATAGATATATGTATATATAAAATATGTGCATATAAATGTTCTCGATTAACTCTGTGAATGAATATACACATTCCACGATAAACTTCATCAACTTGTGCTTCTAAAATAAAGCATTTCTTTGAGCGTAAGCAATAAGAAAAGCTTAAAATTATTCTTAAACAATAAAAAGGGAAAATAACATGCACTTAATCATTTAAATGTTGTTTACTTAGCTTGCAATTATATCTGGCATGCAGCATGCGCTTAACTGTAAACCGTAGATAAAAAAATACACGTGCAATTTTTGCGGACGCAGTCCCAACGTGTAACATCAAAGTTACCCACCACCCGCCCAACCGACGCGAGGGGCGACAGCCGCATGACGCACGGCACGTAGATCGCGTTACGGCAAGGGTCCGGACCCTGGCCAAAAATAGTTGCATATCTCCCGGCGCGCACACGTTTCAAAAAGTCGGACACCACTTTTGAATAGGCCTCGGATAATTTAGTTAGCTGGCTGGAATGGGCGAACAGACCAAAAGCCCCGGATAGAGCGGACGATGCCAATGTGGAACTCTCGCTGGGAGAACAGTTGTGTAAAAAGTGAAGTCGACGATACGGTTTCATAATCATTGTAATCGGAGATCGGAGTTAGGATTCGGCACATTACATGTGTTAGTTAATCGATGGTTTATCTTAGATCTATTACCATTAGTCGCCTACCTAAGCATTGCTGTTTATTAGACTGCCTAAGCAGCTATTAACCTAATACGTTTACATACATTTTTTGGCTACATATTTGCCCTACTATTGGTTACATATGAATAGGTTTTATCTTGATGGTTACGTTTGATTAGATATTTGGGGCTCTGAGACCCATTTTACTTTTACTCATTAACTTTGACTTCCATTTTGCCGTCATTAGGCGAATATTGTAATTATTTATCCCATTCTGCTTCTTCTTGGCTGACATTATAACGTAGTTCTACTTACAGTCGGCTCGCTTTGTGCGAACAAACGATGCACACAAAGATATTTGGTATTTGGCCTCAAAGCCGATACTTAATTCAAGCAAATCACGCTTTCAGCAAAGCGATCGCAGTTATTGACCTGTAAGAGAGTGAAATATGTTCAACAAGTCAATATGATATCTGAATTGGGTGTGAGAAAGTTTAAAAAGTTAGCAAATACTAAGTATGTACCAGCACATAGATCTCATATTTAAGCCATATACAGTAACAACATATATATTCGTGATCAGTCCTAACAATTGAATCAATCAGGTCCGCCTATATGATGGCTAATTTGATTATAGTCCAGATATGTTTAAACAAATCATGTGATTTCTTTTTAAATAGAATATATATACGAGTAAATATTATTTTATTTTTATACTATATAGAGAATATCTCAATTTTATGAATCAAACTTATTTAAAATGTAAGAAATTCGCAACATGTCTGAAACTTTTTAAGTTTGACTTGATCAGACACAGAATGCATTTGGCTAACAAATACTAAACAAATTATTAACACCTTAAATTTAAAATTATATTAGAAAATAAACAAAATTTCCCCATAAAGGTATCAAAGGTCCTGATTTTGTAGCATACTTTTAAGGGAAATATCTAGAAACTAGAACATACTTCAATATTTGTCTTTAAATAATTTTAAAATATGCAGTAGCCGAAATATTTATAAAATATATATATATGAGAACTTCCGATTTGGAAAAAGACCTAGGAGTGTTCAAAGTCGGAGACGTAATAAATATACAGGCCGCAAATTATATAGCGCGACTGAGAAATCATCCTAATCGTCTGGCTAGGCGTCTTCTGAATAGGCGTAGAATTGGAGGACTCCGAACGCGGAGCAGACTGCGAAGGTCTCACCCAATAGATCTCCCAGATCGGTTCTTATAGTCGCCACTGTAAATTGGTATATTAGACTTACCAGTAGAATAAGTAGTTTGTAAATACTCATATAAATTTAATTTAAGTTGTTCCTGATAATAACAGAAAAATTAAAATAAAGCAAAACTTAATAATAATAATTATTTATCGAATTCACTTAAAATATAAACACTTTTAGTTACAGTCAAATACATTATTACCTATTAATTACCTAACTCAATAGGTAGCCCAATAGCTCAATTCTGTTAGCCCAAGTTAGTTATAGGCTATCAACAGTTATTGATATGTATAAATATGTAATAACTGCACGTTATCACACAACCACACACACACACACACACACACACACACACACGCACGCACACGCTTAATACGCACCTTGATAAGCCACAGGCTCTCGCAGGGATCCAAGAGTTTTGCCGTTTGTTGGCAAAGAACTCAAAAAACTTCCTTCACGGTTCTGATAACGACCACAATAAATAGAACAGGTGACGTTTTTCTCTGTTTGTAAGCTAGCGAAGTCCAAAGGTTGGTAGTTGAAATTCAACTGAGCTCAAGCATATAGCCTAACTGACTTTTATAGGCAGGACAAGCAAATGGCATGCGCCGAAATTCGTCCATACATATGTACTGCTGGCAAGTAAACGGGAGATGCGATGCTCCAGTTCCAGTTTACCGTTGCCCCCACCATCATGTCTTGCTTATTGTATTGTTGTATGTAGTTTACAAACAATAATGCCAACACTCACACCAGGCCAGTATCGAAGCATGCAACAGCCAACCAGGCAGCGCTTGCAGTTGCCTCCTACCTCTCTCACTCTCTCGCTTGCTCTCTCTCGCTCTCTCTCTCTTATTTTTTGAAAGCATTAATTGCACATTGCAACTGCCATTGTTGTAGTTGTTTATGTTGTTTTGCTTGTATTTTATTTTATTTCCCAATGCGTTTTTCTTTTTGCTTAGTTTTTCATGCGCACTCGCTCGCACCATCCTGTACTCTCTTTGCCGCAGCGCACTCTCTCTATCTTTGTCGGCTGCAGTCGTGCCAAGTGCTTCGTGGGCAAGCGATAAGCTCGCTGACTGCGCTACTCCTTGGCTGTCCCGTCAGTCTCGCTCGGTCTTTTCAGCTCGCTCGTTCGTCGTGCGCTGCTAGAAGCGGGCAGCGTGGGCGGATGGTGGCTGCTGCAGCCCCCCGCCCCCCCTGCCACCCGCTACCACTGCACCCAGTCGTTGCATCTTATTTAGTTACACTTTGGTGCTGCTGCTGCTGTTGTTGTATTTTGCATTGTTTTGTGCTGTGTTTTGTTTTGCTGCTTGCCGTGCAGCGGCCGCCTCTCGGCCCGTGACTTCGTGTTATGTACAAGTCGTTATGATCCTCGGCTCGTCGCTCGTTCGTTGTATATGCGTTGGTTGTGTGTGTACAGTATTGTTGTTGCTGTTGTTGTTGTTGTTGTTGTTATTGTCGGTATTGTGTTGTGTGTTTTTTTGCACTTGCTGCTG